TCTCCCTGCGTCCTGGTTAACAATGTCGGAATATTGTAACACATCGAAGAAGCAAAGGAAGAAAACTTTTGGTTAAATTTAATAAACATAATTCCTTAGTCTTGCTCTCTCTCCCACTCAGCAACGAAAAGGGTCCTTTGTTATTCGGCAAGGGTGCGGGGAGATTATGAAATGCCACATTAAACTAAATAAACAAACACAAAAGCCCAACAACAACAACAGCAACAAATCCAAGTTGAAAGTTATTAAAACGATCCGCCCTGGGGTGAGAAGTACTTGAGTGGGTAACCACAGCTGACTGGAATTAAATTGTTCTTACATTGAATCGAACATTCAATTCTGGATTGTTGCCGATATTCGGGCTCGTGTTATTGTCGCCCAGAAACGTTAAGTACATCTTTAGTAACAATTAGAACAAATCCTTTGGTCCAAAAAAAAGAAATACTTGTATTGATTGTTTTTAGTGTTTCAAAAAAAAAAAATTGACAACAGATGTACAATTGTATTGGTTAAAGTTGGAGAACAATCAATAACATGGTGTTGAATATTAAGGGATACATATCTGTATCAAGGTTATGGAAGAAGAGTTGGATAAAAGGCAAAGCAACTCCTTTAAAAGAAATAAAGTTAAATTCGATGTAAAAATAGAGAAATGATTTTTTCTTTTAAGGGAACCCCACCCATTCTCGATTTTAATTTTTCAAGATTTTCAATGGGCTGGCTAATCAATACCAATGCTTCTTAAGTTTTGTAACTTTGCACATATATATTTGAAGATTTAAAAAAGAAGAAAAATAATTTACAAAAAAATTTTGTTGTTGCTTTGTTGTTGTTTTTTGTAATTAAAGAAAAGTCCTTATTTTTGATGGCGGGCATGATAACTCCTCACTGGATCATCGGAATTTGAAAATTCCAACGGTGTTAGAAAGAGTACATGTCTGGCTCTCGTATGAACTAGGATTATTGACTTCGCTCTAAAATTAACAAAATGGCGGACCTTTGAAAAAATATTTTTGAAAAATCGCCAAATTTTGACCAAAAACCAAGTTAAAAAATAAGGAAGATCTACATCGATTGGCTTTATCCTAGTTCATACGATAGCTATACACTCACAGAGAAACGTGTAAAAATTTGAAATCGATTGGGTTATTAGTTTTTGAGTTATCGTGCCCGCCATTCGCAAAAGAGAAAAACGCGTTCAAAGTTTGAGAAGCCCTTTAGCCGTCACTTGATGCTGACACAATAAATTGGCTATTTTTCAAGAGTTCTGGAGATTTTCACTTGAAATTTTGCAGAGACATTCTTGAATTAGTGTAGAATCGAATTTAATCAGAAAAAATTTTGACCCCGAGAATGGGGGGGGGGTCCCCTTAAAAGAAAACTAGTCTCATATCTAACATCTCGTAATGAGAATTGACACCAATGTTTGCTAAGTAGGAATCTAGGTGTGGACTTCAATTTCACTGTGCATATCTGAACTGAAGCTATGCGTAGTATTACTGACTTATTGCCTTCGATATTTACCAGTCTCCACTGACGGGCAACACAAATTTGTCTAAAACTAATTTAGGCCAAAGACACTTGAAACCTAAAACCTATATGTCGATATGTTAATTTCAGATCGAAATGTTTATATGCTGGGGTTATAAAAATGAAAAAAGACTGCAAAATACAAGGTCACTTCAAGTACTTTTACGAATTTTGTATTAATTTCTGTCACCAAAGCCACGTATACGTCCCCTGGATAAATACTTTAAACTTTACCGTACAAAATGTAGTAGCATTAAGTCCTTTTTCATAAGTTTATTGCATTATAGAAATTAGGACTTATTTATCCTACTTGATATAAGTTACTTATTACTTACTTACACGCAAACAGCGATTTCTATCCACACCGCCAGCGATCTCTATGCCACATTTCAAAACTCTGGATCTATTTGTTGATTCCAAGTGTACTAAGTTTTGTACTATTCAGAAATTTCATACAAAGTTTATGATTGTAACTCTGATCCCCATACCAAATTTCAAGATTATTGCACTAATTTTAATACTCTATCATACACTTGTACAATACATTTCCACAATCACCTCTTTATACCTACCCTACAAAATACCTATATTATGCTCCTTTCATTTACCAAATTGAATTTAGTACTATTTATAACTTTTCGTACACTTTTTGAAATAATGTCCTGAAAAAATCCTTATCCCAATAGCACCTAAACAGCAACCACTTCCATTCTAATATGTTAGCTCTATTTTTAGTAGTATTAAATCGTACACTTAAGCACTAATTTTCACAACCACCTCCAACAAAAATGGTACTAAATTTAGTAACATAGTGTCGAGGTGGAACAAAAATGTGTACAGTATTTTTCGGTTAATTGACCCTACGGTTAATTGGTTTCCACGCTTAATTGAACTACATGAAGGGCAAACAATATTTCATAGGAAAATGCATGCATTCTCGGATAATTAAACCCTGTTAATTGATTTTCCCGCTTAATTGGTTCAAAATTCATGTCATCAAAAATAAATTTCCTTTTACTTTTCACCGGTTAATTGCATAATAATAATTGACAAATAATCTGTCATTTTTTACATACATATTTGACATAATTTAATGTTTATTGCTAAGGAAAAACATCGAGAGAGCGTAATTTGTATTTGACATTGGATTTTTTTAAATCATTAGTAGTTCCAATTATACGTGATTACTGTAATTGGTTCCTCGGTTAATTGAACAAAAAAATTGTGCAAATTTTGATGTGCAATTAACCGAAAAATACTGTATTAAATTTAAAATTTTTCAAAATTGAGACAATTTGTGGTAGAAGTACCAGGAAAAGAGTTACCTTGTAGACCGCATCTTCGGATGTAGTTTCGCTTCATATGAAATTTACAAATTCTAAAGATGTTGGCTTTTGTGCGGGAGATAAGTTTCGGGATCTGAGTTTCGTACAAAAATTACGATGTGTAACATTTTGAAGCAACCACATGATATTGGATTTTCTATGGTTTGCAGAGATCTTCAGAAATACACAGGTTTTATTATTCGATTTATATATAAATTAAAAAAATCAATAAAATGTTTTAATCATTCGTGTATATTTTTTCATTTTTTTTTATAATTTGTTTTGAGTAGACAGTAACAAGAAATATTTCAATACGAACAGAGTTACCAAAAGGATGGTTGAATAGCATGGTTTGTCACTATACTAATTGTTTTGACTTTGGTGGCAACGTTGCAAAATAGGGGGCAAAATTTACTGTACACACATTATTTGTCTTAAAAATACTGTGTTGTCACATTATTCTACCGACAGATGTCTCTCCGTCGGTTTGATTGGAGGTCGATAAGAGTTGTATTTTTCTGTACTTAGTTCATACATAAAATATCAACATGAGAATCAAAGATGAAAAGGAAAATTTGGTCTGAAATTGCATTTGTGAGTATTTATTTTATGATTTAAATATATCAAAAAACTGTTTCGTCATCTGAATATATTACAAAGTTATATATTTTAGTTGTTTTAAGATTTTATATTGATTTGAACATTAAAATCGATAATAATTAATGACGAAAGTATTCTGGTAGTTTCGTCTTCATGGTGGATATCGTTACAAGATAAATGTATATAATAAGTTCGGGAACTGAGACTTGAAATAATTATCTTTGACCAACAACTGGCTACAAACCAGCAGATGTTTGTTCATGCATTATTGTTTTTACTCCGCAAACATTGGCCAGGTACAACATTTTAAAAAAGAGAGTTTCTTTAAACTCTAAAATTAAAAAAATAATTTTTTTACTAAATCAATATTTAAAAAAAATAAATAAATATTTTCAGCAGGTAGCAAGGAGAATATAGAGGAGGACACAATAGTAAAATAAAATATTTTTAAATTTTCACCGAAATAGCTGTTATTTTCTAGCAGAGGTATTCTCATTTTCCGTATGAGTTAATTAACTAAACCCATCTACTACGCACTTAATTTGCCCATCCAACATATCTGACAACACTACTATTTCGTGCAACCCTGCACTATCTTTAATTGCCGGTTATTGGTAGTCGGTACCAGAGAACAAAATGTCCATCACAAAACACGGTTATTTTGAGGAGACGTCTTTTTTTGTTGCGTACTTTATTTTGTAAAAAACGGGAAATTGTACATAAAAAATTGTTAGAAATTATAGTTTAACTAAAAGCTGGAGCTACCATTTCAATGTGGAATATCAAATTTATATGAAAATCGTGAAAATAAGTGGAGAAAAATTTGAACAGAAATTTTTGTTGATTACAACAATAAAGGCAACGGAGGAAAAGCGTGCTGCTTTTAGCAGCTGCTTTGTTGCGCACACACACACACGCTCATATATTCTTCACCAATAGATGTACGCACATACACACGAACTCGTCTCACACCCTTGTGTATACAAAATAGACGCTATGAAATTAAAGTGAAGTGGGAATTGAAACCGAAAAAAGAAACACAACATCAAAATAAATAAATCAAACAGAACGCCAAACAACACAACGTAATTGGAATTTGAAATTTTCAAAAAACATTTCTTCAAAAGCTTCGGTTTCGGGTTAATTTCGAAACAGTGTTTGCTCAACAACAACAACGAAGACTACGTCAATACGGACGACAGCCGCTGCTGGTGGTGATGTTATTATTCTATTCGTAAGAAGAGGAAGCATTGGGATAACACCAGTTGTTGTTGCTTTTTGACTGGCTGGCTAGCTGTTCTACTGTGTTGTTGTTGTGTTTCGTTGTTCGTCGATATCATTTTGACGACATCTTCAACATCATTAAATTCTTTGTGTGTCCCAACAAACGATACTCAACGAAAGCCTCTATTTTAGGGGAGGTTGTTACGCATGCGATTAATGGCCGAAAATGGAAACTTGAACAACAACATTATTAACAATTACAACAACAACCATACTAATTTAAGAAACATCAATAACACAGTGGTGACGGGACCGCCGCTTCATAGAGGAGAACTAAGGTCAAATAACATTGAGGCCACAACAATAACACCGACAGCAACTATTCTGGATCAAGGCCGCAGTGAAAGAGATGCTACACATTTCCGCTTGCGGGACGGGGCCACTGAAGCATCAGAACTTATAACTTGTCTCAGCTGTGGGGAGTGTTTCAAGGGAACATCCTTGTTGCAGGTCTTCGAACACTACTCGGAGCGGGTTCATATTCGGAATTTTTCCAACTGCCTTTATTGTCAGGGCAAGGTGTACTCGTACTATCACAACCAAGGCCAAAGAGTCAAATATTACCACAATTGTCTGCGCTGGAAGAGAGGTGAAGATCATTAGTCATGGAATACGAATATTACGATGTGATTCGTAGTGGCGGCAGCGACGCCGATGTTGTATCAATTGCTGAGCAAAGGGATAGCATAAGTGCCGAATCGGCTGAATCTGAGTATTCAGATAATGGCGGTGGATTCGAGGATGATGGAAGCAGTATTAGTTCGCGCAATGCCAATGGCAGTTCAGGAGGCTTTGGCAAACGTTGGTCCAAATCCGAGGATACATTATTGAAAACGCTAGTCGAACAGCATGGAGATAGATGGGATCTAATTGCACCACATTTCAAAGATCGCACAGAACCTCAGGTACAACAAAGATGGGCCAAGGTTCTAAACCCAGAGTTAATTAAAGGCCCTTGGACAAAAGAAGAAGATGATAAGGTGGTCGAGTTGGTGAGACGTTTTGGTCCCAAAAAGTGGACATTAATTGCCCGTTATCTGAATGGACGCATTGGCAAGCAATGTCGTGAACGTTGGCACAACCATTTGAATCCTAACATAAAGAAAACAGCATGGACTGAGGAGGAAGATCGTATAATCTATCAAGCCCATTTACAGTGGGGTAATCAATGGGCTAAAATCGCCCGATTACTTCCGGGACGTACCGACAATGCCATTAAAAATCATTGGAATTCAACGATGCGCAGAAAATACTATGACAATGAACGTAAATCAAATCGCCAATGTACCGATTTGAAAAGTTCTCGTTCTCATCTGAGAACGCTGATAAAGTCTGGTGCTCCAATAACATTAAATCCTGGTTTGGCTTTGTCGGCTCAAATTCTGCAAAGAGCACAACAAGACAGCAATAATGCTGCTGCTACAGCGGCCGCTGCAGCTGCTGCACAAACTGACACAGTTCAGCAGACGGTCGTAAACCAAGCGGTGGTTAATTCACGTCCAACACCGAATATCTTGAAAAGAGGTAAAAATCAACAACAACATCTTCATCAACAACAACAACGTTTCCAACAAACCAATGTTGGTGGCAATGTTGAGGTTAAATTACCGGATTCACCGGTAATGACACCGATCAAACCACTGCCATTCTCACCAAGTCAATTTCTTAATTCTCCATGCCTTTCTACATTTGAAGATATGAATTTACGGGCCAGTACTCCAGTCCACAAGAGTAACAATAGGGTTAATGCCGACACCAAAAAAGAATTGGAAAATTCTTCGATTGAAACGCCGCATAAGAGTAAGTATATATTATCGTACAGTAAAGGAAATTATGTTTGGAAGTAGATTTCTTACTTTTTCGGCATGCTATTCTATGATTTATGATAATTACTAATCAGATGCTACATTTATTCATTGTGGGAGTTTTTCGAATTAAGTATTTTTTATTAAATATTCTCACTTTGAAGATTTCTTAATTTTACAAATATGGTAAACAAATTGTGGATTGCAAGACCTGCTACCTGAGTAACCAAAAAATTTTCTAAAAAAATATGAATTTTGTGACTTAAATATTTCATATCTCCTAAGGTATAAATTTTAGAATTATGTGATTAATTTCTAAGTAAACATTTGGTGAAATTTTCGTTTCATAGATAAACATAATAACAATCATCTTCATTTTTATTTTAGGCTTCATGGGACCTCGTACACCAACACCCTTCAAAAATGCACTGGCTGCTTTGGGTAAAAAACGTCGCGGTGAACGTTACATTCCCCCAAGTCCATCTAGTTTGGTTGAAGATTTAGCCGAAATCATACACGACGAACAGCTGAATGAGACAAATCAGTCCAGCAAAACATCCGCGGCCGTGAAGAAGGAAAACATTCCGATAACAAAGGCATATGGTGGTGGTAATGGCACAAATTCACAACTACCACCTCCAACTAAAAAGGCCCGAAAATCCCTAATCACCAGCTGGGGTGAAAATATAATGCCAAGCAATTGTTACAGTGATGTTAAACTAGAACGGAAACCATTACCCTATGAAACCGAAACGCCTAGTAAATTTTTAATATCTAGTGATTCAATAGCTTTCTCACCGTCTAGCATTATGAAGGACACGCTGTGCAGTGAGTCGGATTTGCTACTGGACGATCCACGAGACGATGAGGCTAAGAAAGAAAATAAGCCGCAGCCGGACACTGTGGCACGTCATCGCAATCACCATTACTTGGATCCCAAATGGGAAAAATTGGCTTGTGGCCAGACAAAGGATCAACAATATATGGTACAGCAGGCTCATGCATGCTTAAAGAATCTCGCCTTAATGCCACGTTCGCTGAACTTTGAGAAACAAAAATAATCAGCACACAATTCAGAAAATGGGGAAGAACATTTGGAAATTTTTGTAGAATTAAAATTGTAATATTATTATCGCTATGATGAATGAATGCCCTTATCAAAATATTTGGTATTTCTAGTTTTTAAGCCCAAAGAGTTTATTTTTATTTTTTTAATTTTGTATTGCATAATTCTTTTTGAACACAATTTCGTTGGAATGAAATGAATGGAAATTTGTATCGTATACTTTTTAGTTTAAGCAGAAAAAAATTCCAATACTATTAATTTGTTTCCCTACTTTGGTATTTCTTTTCCTAAATTTTGTTACTATTATTAGATGGTTATTAGTGAGAATAATAACTGCTCCTAAACTTAACTTTTAAGCAAAACAAACAAAACATTTTAACCTGAGTATCCTCTCTCTATATATATAGCTATATATATGCATATAAATATTGAATAAAAATAAAATTGCTGCATTGTATATTTTTTACTCTAAATAAATCATATATTTGTATTATAAAATTAAAAAAAACACACAAACAAAAACATATACATACACAATATATATATATTAAAAAACGGAATATTTTGAATGACTCATTTTTATTTCTATGATTCTATTATCTATTGGACCTTTTTGGAATTAATAATACCTTTCGTTGTTGTAGATTGCGGTGTTGCATTTCTTATGACCACAGCCCATAGACAGCACCAAAGAGGCAGTAATACTGTCGTTACAATACTGCTCAACCAATTGTTGTAAATCTAAAATAAAAAAGTGGAAATAAATTAAGGAAATATTTTCACAAAATTTAGCTAATTGTGGAAAGGTGTAGCAACAAATTGACCTTTAAGTTTATTCTAAATATAGAAGGCTTATGTAGATTCATAAGGAAACTTGTTTTAATTTCCAATATATTTATAGTCGTTTTTGGTCTAAATGCACGCACATGATTTACTTACCAAATTGTCGGTTAACGAAAATGTGATTGCATCCATTGTAACGGTCACGGCACGGAGGACGGCTTCTTTGATTGTCAATTCGGGAAATTGAAATACGGTCAGGACAAATACCAAACCATAAATGAAAACAATTGGATTTAATAGGAAAGTATAAACAGTTAAAAACGATTTTCGAAAGCCCTTCTTCAATTCTGGACTTATACCAAGAGCCAAGGGGACACAGATTAAGGCCACCAAAAATGCCAAAGAAAAATTAAGTAAACCCACTACAACCAAAGTTGTACCCAGTCCCACTAAGGAACCCAAATGAAGCCAATTCAAGGCCTTTTCTGGTAATTTATAAACAAATGGCAGCATAAAAGCCAGACATGACCATACAACCATGGACACAGTTACGCTTTGGGCAGTACTAAAACCGTGATTGGAAATAAAATTAACCAAATATTCCAAAGGCAGCATATGTTGACATAGGAAACCAATTAAGCATGCATAAAGAATGAACAATACTGCTGGTACAATATTCAGCTCTGTCGACTCATTGGTCTCATCACTTTCAGTTTCTTCATCTTTTAGATCGCCACTAGCGATTAACCACAACAGGAATGATTTGATAAATAGCGGTGCAATCAGTAAACCTAAACATGGCATATAATCACCAATGGAAACGAAGCGATCATTTTGTACGAGTATGTAAAAGAAATAACTCTGATGGAAACGTTCCAAAAGATTGTTCAGGCTGCGTGATATGCCTTCGATAGTTTTGAGCAAGGGTAGGCCGCCATTATAACGATTATTGTTAGATGTTTGACGTTTAACGGCTTCCAGTGTTAGTGATTCTATACGATGACGATGAAAGAATCCATGGTTACCATTTGGTACGCCGGTTGAAAGGCTAAATATCATTGATAGCATATTTTTAATATTATTCTCAACCGAATTTTGATATTGGCGTCGTTTTTTCTGCGGAGTCTGTTTGTAGCCGGATATAATACCCTCTCGGGATGTGATCCTTTGTACCAAATTAAACATATCCAAATTGGGTAATTGACCATTGAGGCCTTCGATTTTGACATCAACATAATCTGAAAAAAAACAAATATAAATATTGAGTTATCTCCTAATTTTTAAGCTGAGAGAGATGTATTCCATTGGATGGCTGCAACAAATTAGTTACATACCAATATCCAAATCCTGGACTTCTATATTCAGTGCAGCCTGCAAAGAACCAGCCCGAGCAGGCAAATAACCATAATCTAAATACGACTTCTGACGAGTTGACTCATCCATTTCTGTATTGAAATAGGCTTCAATAAAGGCATGCATGCCAAGTTGCTCTTGTTCAGTAACCAGGAAAATTATATCTTTGGCCCAGTAGTTCTTTTCTGTAAATGAACAAACAAGTTTTAGTTAGGCCAATCTATTTGTAGTTCTCCTTCTTACTTCTTGCGAAATCAGCAAATGCCAATAAAACCGGAACACTAGCAACAATATCTGCATGTGGTGATGATGGAGATCGATATGGTGCCGAAAACACTATACCCTCCGTTGAACTGGTGCGAGGAGCTCTCAATATACCATAAACATTTTTACCCTGGAACTCTTTGCCTCCATCAAAGGGATATCGCAGTGTGTAGTTGTGTACATACGTTTCCAAGCCAATTTGTCTCATTTTAGCTGCAATCCAGGCATGTGGCGTTGTTGCCCTATGATTTTCTCGTTCCCTGCCCAATTCTTCAATGAGATGTTGTGCCCAACGACTGGAATCTTGTTTGATTTCAGGATAAACCAAACCTATAAATAGAATACATGTTAGTGATGTCAAAGCACGCAGAGGGAGATATCCATAAATTTACCTGGCGAAAGGGCATTCTCCGAAAGATAAGTTCCATGATTAAAGTCCTTGTGGCCCAAACAACCAAACCACACAATACTCGCCACGTACAACAGCCAACATACTTTGGAATGATGTTTATTGAGGATTTTTCCAAATTTATTGCGTGGAGTCAATGAAGGATCTGATAGGAGCCCCATTTCCACCGAATCACCAACAAAAAAGTTTACAAAGGCAGGGCAGTTGTTTCCTACCGATTGAAATATGCCGGTGTTGCAGTGTTGTATGATTTGTTAGTAAATCGCAACACACAGTAATAGCGATGGCGTTTGGCGTCTGGCATTGTGTCTACGAGAGTGAGAGGAGTTGATATCCAAGTATTCAAGTTGTAGAGACAATAGAGAGTATTGCATTATAGTTATGTAAATATTTTATAAATTTACGGAACTTAATGTAGAATGGAGAAGGAATTGTGTTATCGTATTATTAGTAACGGTTAACCGACAGGTAACCATCGAATAATCACATTTATACCAAACTGCAAACTACAACACTAGTCGGATTGTTGTTGTCGATATGCAACCCTGCAATGAATTGAAAAGTCATTTATAACTGTATTTTTTATTGAAAGAAGCCATTAATTTATACAATTTTCGACTTTTATAATAAATCATTTAACGATTTGTGACTTCGTGTGAGAGATGTTTTAGATTTACAATATTCTATATAAAATGTGACGTGTTTTTTTGAAACAATGGATAATGTTGAACGAACATGAAATGGGGTTTTTGGTAATGCATCGGGAAGTGTCCTAATAAATATATTTCACCGGAAATGAAATGTATGTTTTAATTGTCCTCGCGTTCAAAGAGTTTTAGTTTGCCGAATGTGGAAAAAATTGAAACCTTATGGCAAGATAATATATTCTTCTTTGTCATTCAGCACCTTTGTTAATTGTGGCAGGATTTGTGGAATTCATCTTTTGAGTAAGTATTGAAATGCATGCCGACTTATTTTATTTATTTATATTTTATTTTATAAGATTTGAACTCTTATTGCTCTATCAATTGTAGATAATCGAATTTGGAACAATAATATTCGTCCAATTTCAATTTAATTTTCCAATTTTGAAGGCGAAATCGGAATCATTGGTAAGACAGGGTTTTTATTTATAATTTTATAAATGGATTTACTCTCACTGAAAACTGACCCTCAATGCCATTTGGTATTGTAGTTTTCATACTATAGGTGTGTCTGGTTACTTCTCCAGTAACATTTATTCAGTAAGTTCTAGTTCAGAAAGTAAGCCTTTTTTACTCTCTTTTGCGATAATACTGAGAAAAGTAAACAGACAACATTTAGTAAGATTTAGCAAATAAACAGCTGATTCAAGAAAATATTTGATTTGCGCCAAAATAAACAAACAAAGGACAAACACAATTATTTGTATTGCATATAATATTAAAAATAAAAGGAACAATAAAAGAAAAATTGATTTGGTATGTTCCCCGGGAACATTTAAGCTTCCTGCATCAATACATTGCCCTCTATCTTTAACTTGCCTAAAAATATATAAGGAGTTAGTTTCTAATTTAATGAAACTTTGCATTACTTACGAATTTTCTTCCATTTTCTGTAATTTTTATACAACTTAACTTCAAATTGAACTTTGCAAATTAAAAAAATGTTTTGAATAATTTTTGTGTTTGGTCATAAAACAGCTGGTCCAAAAATGGCTAAGATTGCAAAATTTTACTGCATAAAATTCTCTCAGCACACTCCAGTAAGTTTGTTGTTGTTCAACTGTCAAACTTGCTCTTGACTCCCTTTTACTGGATTTTTGTGTAAACAGACAACATTTAGTAACATTTGGTAACAATTGTTACCAAATATCGAGTAAACAGACAGAGCTTATGTATTTAAACCCAAAATATCATTAAATATAAATAATAGCTAGAATAATTGTATATAATATTATAAATACCTTTTTTGTTTAATGTTCATATTTTTCCAACCATTAATGTTATTCTATTTTTATAAAAAACATAAAACTTTTTAAATATCGGTCCACTTTTTTTTGGAGCCCCCATGTAACGTTACCCTCTAATTTAGGGTATTTTGGGAGGTTTAAACGCGTTTTTAAAGCGAATTCGCTGAGATTTGGTGCAATGGGATTTTATTGGGTACCAAAATTCTTCACAAACAATTATAAATATTGTCCCATTTTTTCGGGTAGCCCCCATATAAGACACCCTCTATTTTTGGTATTTTGTGCGCGTTTTTCAACCGAATTCGATGTAATTTGGTATTTTGTAGTAGCATATGGCGACAAATCTTCATACCAAAAATAATTAATATTCGCCCCCTTTTAGGGATAGTTCCCATATTACACCGTTCTTATATTAAAATAGTTAGCTGATAAGTACCGTGTGTAGGGGTTGTCGTTACTCGAAATAGTCAGTTTTACCCTACAAATTATGAAATTCTAAGATGATTTAGCCATCGTTTGTAATCATTCCGCTTTCTAAGGAAATATATCGACCAGCATTTAGGCATCTCCCCCATATAATTATACCTCATTTGTATTTGGTGAACATAATGGTTTACATAAACCGGTTTGTAGAATTATCGTATATTTGGTATATTCCCTATATTTTAATTTTTTGTTAGAACCGTAGCTGATTTTTATGAAAAGTTGGAAGCTGGAAGTTCGACGCTGAATTACTTATTCTTTTTATATTTTATATATTAAATCGCTTAAACACAAAAGACTGAATTGTCATACAAATTCTTCGGTTTCAAAATCATCAACTTACCTTTAATTCGTAAAGAAAATCAAAATCATTTTTTAACAGTTATTAAATTTTGGCACTTTATTGCATTTGATAACCATTTATGAATGTTGGTAACATTATTTTATTTTTGATTATTATTATTAATTTTAAGATTAATATACTTTCTTGTTTTGTAAGGTATGTTGGTAGGTAGGTAGTAAGTACTGAACTAAGTTAGAGTTAATTAACAAATGTTTACAATAATAATTATTAGTAGATTAATCAATATTAATTCCGTATTTTGTTTTGTTTTTCTATTCAATTCACTATAAACAACATTAATTAATATGTATGTAGATTTTAAGAAAAAAGGAGGGTGTGTAAGGGCGTGATTTTTTGTGAGGATTTCTAGGTCATTTAAGTACATTGAAATACTTCTACACCATTTCGTGGTGGGGGGATGTTTAGATAAGGTTACCTAAGGGGTTAACGTCATTTTAGATTTTCTTATGTATTTCTTTTGCATATAAGTACATATTGTTTGTTGGATGTATGAACGTGTATGGGAGTGCATGCGTGCATATAAATAAACTAATTTTTATTAGTAGATTAAAAATATAGTCTACAGATAACATAATATTTCTCATTTCTGATTCTGATTCCGATGTTGATGATGCTGTTGATGGTGGCTTTGGATTTTTATTTGCTGACGTGTCAAATGAAACTAAAGCCGAATGGATGCCAAATGGATGGATGGATAGGTGATAAATGGAGGATGTGTGGTGTGGGGAGACGTGTTTTGTATGCGACGACGTCGACATCGTCATTACTTCCGATAGTCCATGTTGCGTACTTTAATAATTGTAGAACCGGCAGGTGGTGGGGCACGTTTCGATCGCACATATTCCTCATGCCGTATAATGCTGGCAGTATCCTTATTGATTTCCACTGAGCCTCTTGAATCCAACGAATGTTTCTGTTGAAGATGATAGTGACCCGGTGCACGATATTTGTATTCCTCATCGATGTGTGATCCTGATCTATAGGGTGGTGTAGCCTTTCTCTCGTCATAGTATTTGCGATTATTCGGATAGGGCTGTCTCTCGCCGTAGGTGTCCGATTCATCTTCGTTGGTACCGATTTTTGTTAGATCCCTTTGACTTCTGCTTATCAAATTTACAATCGACGGGCTCTTGAGTGGTGTTTGCTGGATACTGTTTTCCTTTGAGCTAGAGTAGAGATGAGGATTTGACTTGTATGCATGGCTAGATTGAAGATTGTTGTGATAGTTGTTGTTGCTGTTGCCGTTCAGTTTTTCCATGTAAATGGGACTAGGATCGTTGCTGCCATTCATTGCATGAACACTGAAACTTTTGCTGCGATTCAACGATTTGGCATAGGTTCGGGCAGGCTTGAGGGGACCTGTGTTTTGCCCAATCGGTTGATAGGCAATACGTTGTTCGGCCTGTTGTTGCTGCTGCTGGCGCAGTTTGCTCTGAACCTTCCCCGTAACATTGGACCGTGAGATGTTCATGGTTTGAGTTTCGTACTGATGGATGGTTGGCTGCTGTTGTTCGTTTAGTTTTCGCGGCAAAGTCTGGGTAGTACGATACCCGGAATTCAAGTTTGGCGTTGATCCGCTGAAGCGAGAATTTCCTTTCTGATAGCGTCCAAGAGTGTGGCTGGACGTCGAGTTATTTTCACGTCCATTGTAATGAATGTTGGTGGTTCCTCCATTACGCTGTTGCTTGCCATTGTCCTGGACATTTTCCTTGCCATAGAGGGTACTTGAGTATGGATCCTCTCCCAAATAGTAACGTTGCTTAGGACTAACCAGACTTTCCTGTCGTCGATAATTGTCACGGTGCCCACCACTACCCATCACCGGATGCGAGGTCGTAGAGTGCAGCATAGCTCGGCGATCAGCACTAGCGTTGCTGTAGACACTGTCACCCGTTTTGCTTGCCTGATACTGAATACGTTGATGGGTGGACAGTTCATCTTCAGATTCTTCGTGTGAGGTGGTGTTGTGGTGAGTACCTCCCCCTCCTCCTCCACCACCTATGTGGCCGTCAATGACATTATATTGTTGATAGGTGGTAATGTTACGTTGGTTTTGGGCAACGGAAGTGGCTGCTGGCGGAGCTGGGGAGTGGTCACGAGACTTTGATTTGGATTTCATACGCAACTTACGCTCAACACTAGCCGATCTTAGTTTGCCAACCAGTTTACGCAAGGAATTCCCAATAGCACTACCCACCTTGCTGGAACGATGCGATTGCACGGTGGACGTAGAGATGGTTGAGGGTGTTGTCTGGGTTTGAGTGGTCTGTGTCAACATGCTGGGTCGCAGGGTCTGACTTTGATGATGATGGTGGTGGTGCATTCCGGCACTGGGTGGTGGTGATGGAGTATTGCGAGCAAATCGGGTACGTTGGTTTTGTTTTCTCATCAGAGTGCTAGTTTCCCGTGCCGATAGCTGTTCCTGCGTCGATGAGTTCGTGTACAGCTGATGTGGATAGGATTTGGCTCGAACCTTGTGGAAGTCATCGTGTGGTGAAGATGAACGACTACGCGGTGGTGGAGAGTAGTCTGGTGGTGGAACATTTATTTCCATGGGCGTCTTAAGGTCGAGCATTACCGGTTCGTGTTGCTGCCTCAGCTTCTTTTCGCCGTTGCGTCGCCTTTGGGGCACCACAGGCCTTTCCAGTGTGGCGATTTCACGTTGGGGTGTACCTTTGTCTGACCTCTGCAAGGAATTGTAGCGATTGTTCTCCACAAATGTGCGCTCGTAACTTTTAGCCCTTTCCTCCACATAAGAGGCCTTACGAGGTGGTGCTGGTGAATCTGGTTCATCCAATACCTCTGCGCGGGTATAACTTCGCTTTTCCTTCTCCTTGACATTTAAGCCATAATGGAGATCTGTACGTGACCCGCTTATATAACGCTCATCATCCTCATAGGAAGGCTGGGCGGGAATTCTATCAACATCATCTAGACGATCGCGGGAATTTTGTCTTGATCGAGCCAGAAATTGTGAAGAAAGACTCTGACGTTTTTGTTGTAGAATATCCTCGCGACTGACATAACTGTCGCTGGGGTTCGATTTGACATATGGCGCATTATCGGAATTCAAGTTGTCCTTTGAGGCATAAACGGCGCTATTTTTTCTCAATTGGCTACGTTCAATGGACGCATGGAGATCATCACGAAATGCCTTAGAGGCAAAATGATTGGCAGGAGTTGTAGTTGGTGCGGGCACTATCGGTTCTTTGCGATTACTCCAATTCGAGATGCCCTGATAGTATTTGGCTCCATTGGTAGTGGCAGTGGAACCATTAATGGGTTCCACATTGCGTTTTACAAATGGTTTCTTGTTGTCGCCAGACTCGTAAGGAGTATTGTTGGTAGGTGATTGATTTTGATTCGATTTAATGGTTACATTGAAATAAGTACGCTTTGTGGGTTCAATGACATCCGTTTCGTCTTCACGGGAGTCGTTTGAAGCTGTCGATTCGCTGCCGAAATGAGATTCTAGCCATTTAATTGTTTCGCCTTTACGAGTCTCTTCTTCCCTGTCGAAATCCAAAGGCCTTTTAGTTAAGGCATCTTTGCGGTCCATCAATATGCCACCGGCTAGAAAAAAGAAGAAGAAGATTAGACGAACCAATAACTAGATTATTTTGTGAATCCCTGGTTTAGTCAGTACAAACTGATTCTACTTAGGTTCTGATAACCTTTTTTGGTCTTTACTATTGTACCTACCTTTAGGGTGCTGCATTACAGATTTATTGTACGGTTTACGCATTTTTCGCATACGATCTGATAAACTATCCCAATCATCAGGACGTTCCAACATATCGTCATTATCCATTTGCATGGTTTCGGCGGCGTATTTCATTTCTGTGCCTACCACTTTGCCATCTTTGACCAAGTCCACATGTTGTTCATCCCGTTGTTTGAAAAATCGTTGATTGGTTTCCTGGCGAACGAAAAAAAATTAGCAAAATGCCTTCACACAAAACCAAATATGACGAACTTACTAAAGTTTTTACACGTTCCTGACTTCCAGTCGATTTAGCCTCGTCGTCGTCCGACAATTCCTTGTCGACAATTATCTCATGCTCGGTTGTCTTCTTTTGTTCGGTTATAATTTTACCATCCTCTTGGGCCAGGGAACGTTTTACAACATCCTCCGAATCGATGGTCTTAAAGGATTTGGTTTTATTGGCAACTACTCGGGGACCGGTTGGGACCAATTGTTTTTGGCTGTCTGGCGAAAACAGTACTTCTTCGACGTTCTCAACTCCACTTGTAACAGCTTTTACGAAGGCCTAAAGAAATAGTTGGAAAATTTGTGAATGGTTTAGAGGAATTCATTTCCAAAAAATAATAGAGCCAAAAAATAAATATTTTTTATTAGGATTACATAAGAATAAAAATGTAAGTTGAAGTTGGTTTGTTTTATATTTTTATACAACAACAATGTGCTCCCTTCCTCCGCCTACACCTCATCCTTCACTATGTCACCATTGCACCGCTCCATTGCAATTCCGTCCGCCAATGCTGTCTATAATGCTTGACGTCGACCACTTTGAGCCGCCAAACAATCACTCGAGTGCTCAGTCGCAAGGGCGTTATCTAGAGCACAAAAACACCAACAAAAACCACAATGCGTTACATTTTTCTTAAAAAACAAAACAAAAAAATTGAATTGAAGAAACATCCACCAAAACTATTCGAATACACTTATATTCGCCATTTATGACTGGCTGGTTGGTTCGTTTACTGAAATTACAAACTATTTATTGCACGATATTGCTGCCGGTAACTCCGATTGCTGTTGCTGAGACAAGTAGGCTGTAGCTAATTTGTTTTTCATTTTAATAATTCCTCTTATAGTTTGTTGCAGAAGTTCAATCGTAAATAAAGTAGAACAGTGAAATTGAGTCATAATTAAGGAGGGGTGCACAATAAAATAGCATGCGATGCTAATTAGAATATTTTTTAAAATAACACCATCTAATATTTCGAAACGAGGCTCAAATGGACTATGCAACAAGATTTTGTAGACGTGGAACATTCTTTATTATATAAAATGCAGCCCAAAAGATTTTTACTGATAAGTACTTTGTGTTTGGCATTAAGCTAAGCAAGAGCAAATTAAGTAGTACATAAGTATAAATAATTTACAGCAAAATCAGTGCCTTACAACCACTCATCTAGAACGGTTGTGTCTTTATTTCTTATACACATGAGCTGCGGTTGTCTGAATATTTTTAAATTTTTTGGCCCCTCGAAAAACTGAGTTTTTCCCCACCCATGGTAAAAGACTCAGAAGCTCAAGAATTGTTAGAGATTTTCTGTTTTTTATTATTTAACATAATGGAGAAAGAGTGTAATTTTTCCATAGAGTCTTTGGAAAAAAGACTTGATGAGAATGAGAGAAAGGAACAGTACCGATGATTTACTCGAAAAGCCGTGGAGTAAAACGCCATGTGAACACATTTGAAATCAAATGTGCCATCCGAAAAATGGCCCAACTGATGGAATGGATGAATATACATAAGTAGGATTTGCAAGAGCTTCAGCAATTGAGGCCGAAAATATTAAATCGGAATATAACCGGGCCATACAACCACTCTCAGTATACCGATAATCTTAAAAAAAATAAGTAATATACGGAAAGCGTTTAAATTTGATGTGCATTTCTTTGACGACATTGAAGATGAACAAAACTAGAGGAGTGGTCTGAGAAAGATATTCCTTGAATCCGATTATGTAATTGGCCGATGTGACGAATTGAAAAAATGTAAAATAGAATGTCACAAAAAGAAAGCTCTAACCGAAATGGAATATTTGAAGGCATAATATATGGAGATCAGAAAGTTGTTTCCAAAAGCTTCAGATGTGGAGTTTTTTGAAAATATGTCCTTCAAATTGAATCGTATGGCGGACATATACTATGATGTAAGGGAGGAACTATATATTAAGCCGGAATCTTCCAACGGGTCCAAAGTTCCCGACAAACCGAATATTGATGGGACGGATCGACATAAAATTGTATTCCGTTCTTTTACCAGGTCTCCGGTTGTATATCGATGTAGTGCAATCTGATGACCTATGTAATATATAAATCACCAAAAAAAGTAAAATCAAAAGTATTCTTAAAGGAATACAATATTAAAATCAGAAAACTAGTGAAGATAATGATACAGACACATTCTCAAATCCTATGCTTAATAATAGTAACCCACTTGTAAATAATAAAATTTTGACTTAGCCATATACAGAATTTTAGAATTCGGACTTTTCCTATTGACCCTCTATAATCTTCTTAGGTCCTCTCTTTCATACATGAGGGTTAATAATTTGAATACTCTTGTAGTTAAAATTCCCAGTCATTTGGACTAATCTCATAACTTCACGTCGACAACTATTCGAATTGATTAGCAAAATCTGACTATTTTGAGTACGTCGCATGTATTACCTGAGACTTTTGTCAAAACGCACAGCATCGCTTTGAATACACCCACATTTTTTTAATGTATATTGCACATCTCAACATTCTGCCATATTTTGTGAGTTCATTGAAATAAACTATAAACGGCAGATTTATATAAGTGATCCATATTTAAAATTTATGTTAAATGCATGTACTTAAATAGCTATTCATATTATTTCCAAATGCATTTCAAAATTGGTTGGACGTGTTCAGAAATATATACAAAAAATAATGTTATAACTATTTTTGTATTGAATATATTAAGATGAAATGCAAATGAAGCTATCTTCAGTTTTGAGATTAAGTTGTAACGTAATATAAGGATGTCTGTGGTTATGTCTGAAAATAAATATCTGCTTTTAATTATTCGTAGAGGATATGTTTCATAAGTAATATTGGTTAAAAACCCTAAACTTTTCATAATAATCGGCATATTTCCATTTAATATTATTTTTATTTTAATATCACAAAAAATATTATTTTTTTGTACACTTTTTCGTATAGTAAGGAGCCTAAAAAGAAGGCTCTCGAAATTTGTGCAATTTCTGTTCAATCGGCAAAAAAATCAAGGCTTAATATTTTTATATAAATAAATTTCTGTACATAATTTGTATGTAAAATGTGAAGGGTTTTATTGCTATTTTCAAAATGTTACAATGCCCCTGACCACCAACTACTTATTGGGGATGGCTCTTAAATACCAAATTAATTTCTGTCATACTTCAAAAGTAAAGCAAAAATCAAAAAATAAAAAAAAACATTCAAAATGAATTGCATTGATTGGTACATTTAACCTTCGTGGATAGAAATCGAAAACACTTGACTTGCTTTAAATAAACACACACACACATACAAACATTAACAAGTAAAAAGGCACAGCATAAATATTGTTTTTTTTTTTTTGCTATGATTTTTTCAATTAGTCTATTTGGTAAAAAATAAATAAATACTTATAACTGGACAAAATATATGGACAATCACCAGGCATCTGCTCTTGTAGTTTTTGTGTAGTAAAGTAGTAAAAACACAAACAACAAATTTTTGGTGTTTGCTGGGTCATAAGACAGACTTGCTTGCCTTCTGTCTGTCTGTCTGCCAGCCAGTGTTTTTTGTTGGCGTTTTATTTGGTGTCAAAGAAAGTAAAACTCCATAAACGACACATAAAAAACGCTCCATCATGCTGCTAAAAAGATTACGTGGTTTGTCCACTTGTTTTTTGACAATTGTTGGTGTTGACAGCTAAAAGCAAAAGCTGCTGTCTGTCTGTGTTTCTTTCTTTCAGCGGCAAATTTGAATTGCTATCATCGTCATCATCATCAGCAGCTACGAAAAATTTTAGGCATTCCGATTAATCATCAAAGCGGATAAACGAATAAGACAAGGCTGTGTCGCACTGCCGCCACAGATACTCTTCTGATGGTGAAATGACGACGACGTCGATCCATTAAAAATAAATTAATGCAATTGTTTTTGTAGCCGTCGTTGTTTTTTCTAATTGTTTTTGTTGTTGTTATTTCATTTTTATTTAGCTTTCCACATTGAAATTACGATTTTTATTTACATAGATTTGAATGAAAACCAAAAATATATAAAATGACAAGTGAAAATTATGTGCGTTTTCAATCAGACAAAATAGTTTCACTTTTTCCTGAGACGTGGGTCTCATTTATTTATATTATATAATTCAAATTAATTGTTTGAATTTATTTCAGTTTGGGAAAAATCACAAAGAATTCAACTAACGTCTGTCATAAATTAAAAATCGCATTTAAATAAATATATAAATATGCAGGATTGATCTTTCCATGTTGTACGCTTGTAATGTTATTTATCGATGATAAAATGCACCAAAACTATCTTCCTAAAGGATTTTAAAAATGTTTAGGTATAAGCATATACGTGGATATCGAAAGTACCGTTTAAGAGTTCAATATTAAGGCATAGATATAGGTCCCATTTTTGAGTCACTATTATAATACAAATTAAGAAGATTTTGTCATTGTCGTAACTCAACTGCTGTAGTTATCAGGACTGATAATACTGATAATTCTCTAAAAACTATTTATACCCTCAACCATACATAGTATATTACTTTCATATAGGAGATATATCAAAAAAAGTGGACCTATACATACAAGTTTTCCAATACTATATTTCAAAAAAGGGGATTTGAAAAGGGAATTTTTCATTAAATCTCAAATATCCTGTTATCTGAAGGCTACTTTAATATTAGTTTAGCTTTGAGGATGCACAGTAACTAACTGATACTGGGTCACTCGGAAACCTTCCGGTCCATTGTTATTATGCAAGGAAAATTAGATGGAAGTTGCCGAAAATGAAAAGATAAAAAAGTTAGGATTAAAACTTTCTACGTGTTCTGTTCAGTGCCCAGCCACAATAGATTTCTGATGATGTTGTTGATTAAGGCAGGCTTCATAGTAGAGTACTAATCTACCTCAGACTTGATGCTGCAGGATTTTATGGCTTTAAGAGTCGCTTAACTATCATCGAATATAGACACCTGAGATCATTATCTCATCATTTGGACTTTTAATAAATTCCGTCTCAATAAAAAGCCAGACCATCAAGAGGATGGTTAATACGAGGGCAGTTCGGAAAGTTCTTAGCCTAGCACAAAAAGCGTTAAAAAAATTAAGTGTTTTGGTAACTTTAATCTCTGTTTCGACTTTCAACCTCAGACCTGATGCTGCAGGATTTTATGGCTTTAAGCGTCGCTTAGCTAGCATCGAATATAGACACTGGTTCAATGATCGCATCATCCAGACTTTTAATTAATTCCGTCTCAATAAAAAGCCAGACCGTCCAAAG